CTCCAGTTTCAGGCACAGGACAGCAGATCCCCAGGCCAGGGGTCTCCTGCACTGTCTCAGTGAGTGAGGCTGGGACACAGCTTCTGTTCCATATGCAGGGTAGATTCAGAATCAAGTCTGAGTGACATTGAAGTGCTGGCCTCTCAGGTTTGAGGCCTCAGGCTTAGAGGAGATTATTCCCACACATTACCTTGTTGGATCTTGACTCTGGGAACTCGGAGACCCTTTGTCAAGTCCCTCAGACCAGAGTGAGGTTTCAGGTGACCCATTTAGGGTGAACTTAGATCTGTAAAGTGATGAGCATTGGCTACAGGAAGACCCAAGAGCTCTTGCTGTTGGTTCATCAAAGGAGCGGGAGTGAGACAGATCCCACAGCCCTGTTCTCCAACTCTGGGAAGAGACAGGCACCTCTTGGTTCATGGGCATGGCTACTCATGGAATTGCACCGTGTGAGGTCCATACAGCTGTGAAATCATCAAGTTGCCCATCTTTCCTTCTATCTCTCGTTTCAATTAGCCAGCATGGCTCCATACTACCCATTATTTCCTGCTAAACATAGGTGCCCTTCTTCTGGCTTTTACTGGAAATTCCTAAGCAGAGACTAGGCAACGTGGGATGGATGTATAATGGGTGGAAGGAGTCTAAGATGGGCTGTGCAATCTAGGGAAAGACTGGAAGACAGTTGGGGCTGGCTGCTAAATTTGACAGACCAAACCAACAACAAAAAGGTGAAAATGGAAGACCACAGATCCCTTCAAACTGAGGCTGGTAAGTAGTGGTCTTTCTTCCAGAGGTGGGTGGTGACATCAGGCTTCCTTTGTTTGAGTCATAAGGTGGGCCTAGGCTTCCCATGGTCTTCTAGAAGTTGCTCTCCCCTTCTCCCATTGTGATGGGTGTATAGCTGCCCAACCACAGCTCTCCAAGCTCAAAGATCTGGAGATGGAGAGAGTGGGTGTACACTGTGATCTGAATCTTAAATGTCCAGCAGAGGCTCACACTTTGACTACTCGGTCCCCAAATCACTGTCTCCTTCCTGGTATGCTTTGATGTGAACAGCATCTGCCACTCACTCCTTCAGTCACAGCTGGTTTTCTCTGCTGTGCCTCCCCAACTCATGATGGACTGGAACTCTTAGAAAAATATCTTCCCTCCTGACTTAGTTCGGGTTTCTATTGCTGTGAAGAGACGCCATGATGACAGCGACTCTTCTAAAGGAAAACATTTAATAGGGGCTGGCTTACAGTTCAGAGGTTTAGCCCATTGTCACCATGGTGGTGCGCAGCTAGACATGGTTCTAGAAAGGTAACTGAGAGCTCTACATCTGGATTGGCAGGTAATTGAAGAGAGTGTCACTGGGCCTGGCTTGGGCCTCTGAAACCTCAAAGCCCATCCCCCAAGTGACGCTTGTTTTCCCACAAGACCACACCTCCGAATAGTGTCACTCCCTATGATCCTATGGGGGCCATTTTCATTCAAACCACATCTCCCTAAATTGCTTCTCTCAGTTTTTTTCTCATATTTGGATGTGGAAGTAACATATACAAAATATACTCCATGTACTCAGTGTCTAGGCACTTCATAACCTTTCTCCCTAAGGGCTGGAACACATATGGCCCTGAAATCCAGTTTGAACTGTCCAGGCAAAGGTAGGAGAGGAGTGGCTCTCAGATTCAAGGCCATTTTAGAGTTGTCTCTAAAATGCAGAAATACAGAGAGACCTGGGTGTGAGGCTCTATCTCCATGTGGTAGTTTGAAATGGCCCCCAAAGGGAGTGTCACTATTAGGAGGTGTGGCCTTGTTGAAATAGGTGTAGAGGAAGTTCGTCACTGTGGACGTGGGCCTTGAGATTTCATATGTGCTCAAACCATGCCCAGTGTTGCAGACCACTTCCTATTGTCTGCAGGTCAAGATATAAGACACTGGGCTACTTCTCCAGCACCATGTCTGCCTGCATGCCACCATGCTCCCCACCACGACGACAATGGACTAAACCTCTGAACTGTAAGCAAGCCACCTCAATCAATTGTTTTCCTTTATAAGAATTGCCTTGGTCATGGTATCTCTTCACAGCAATAGAAACCCTAATTAAGACCACGTGATCCTGGAGTTAATGACTGTGCAGTGGAACTGACTACCCACCCCGGACTGCTGCACGGGAGACAATTCTTTATTTTTCAAGCTATTGCCTCTTTTTTTTTTTTTTTTCTTACTGGATTGCGTCTCTGGGAGTCAGTCTTCTCTGGTTAATGTCTCTCTCAAAAAAGAAGAAATGAAATTCTACTGGAGCTCTGCCTCTAGATGTGAGGGTCTAGACCTCCGTTAGAAACAATGACGGCAATGGTGTGAGCTCAGGGGTGAGGTTCAAAGCTGTGTCTAGTTGCTATGTTCCCTGTGTCTCAAGTCTCGTGTGCTCCCAGGCCTGCTTCTTTACAGTGTTTGATGAGGTGTCACTTTTCCTGTTGCTGTGACAAACCATCTGACAAAAGCAACTTAGACTTGGTGGCAGAAGTATGAGGTGGCTGGCCACGCTGTATCCACAATCGAGACAGACAGACGGACAGACAGACAGACGGACACACCCACACCCACACCCACAGAGAGAGAGAGAGAGAGAAAGAGAGAGAGAGAGAGAGAGGAGAGAGAGAGAGAGAGAGAGAGAGGGAGAGGCTCGTGTTCAGCTGGCTTCCTCCTCCTCTCTCCTTTCATCTTTATTCAGCCCATTATGGTGCTGCCCATATTCTGGTGGACCCTCCCTCACCAGTTAAGCCTGCCTGGAAACCCCCTCAAAGACACACTCGGATGTGCGTCTCCCAGGGGATTCTAAACCCAGTCATGCTACAATGGAAATTAATCCTCCTTCACCACTGAGGTGGGGGGGGGGGTCATGCCTTCATCCCGACATTCTGAACTCACCGCTGTCTGATCTCCACCACCCCATGATTCCCAAAGTCACTTCTAATGGCCAAGGACGTGGCTTTTCAGTCTTGTCTGATGCAAGTGAAACACTGCCGCCTCTTCCTTCCCCGCCCGTTGCTTTCGTGTGTGCTGGGGGCAGATGAAACCCAGAGCTTCACGAGCGCTGGACTTGCTGTTGAAGCCACTGAGCCAGAAACCCAACCACACCTTCCTTCTGAGACACCCTCCCTGGTGATCACTGATAGGGCCTGTGGTGGCCCCACAGGGCCATGCATTTGAATGCCTAGTCACTAGGGAGTGGCACTATTTGAGAAAAATTAGAAGGATTGGGAGGTGCGGCCTTCTTGAAGTAGGTGTGACCGTGTTGGAGGAAATATGTCTCTGGGGGTGGACGGTGAGGTTTCAAAAGCTGATGCCGGGCCCAGGGTCTGCCTGCTGCCTGGCATGTTTACATCAGATGAACAGGTCTCAGCTACTGCTACAGCGCCTGTTGACATGCCGCCATGCTACCTGCCATGATGATAACAGACTAAGCCTCTGGAACGGCAAGCAAGCCTCCAGTTACATGCTTCTTTTTCTGAGTTGCCTTGGTCATGGTGTCTCTGCACAGCAATAGAGCAGTGACTAAGAGGTGGCCTCACAGGTTTCATGATCCCGTTTCTTCCGAGTCTTCTCGTGTGTCTCCCATGAGCCTTAATTACCATGGTCTTCAAGATGGTCTGAATACTCAGGCCTTAGAAGCTTAATCCTCAGCACAGTAGAGAAGGAGGGCCAGACGGGAGCCCATTGATGGCATTCCCACAGGCTAACTGTCTCTTGCGGGTTTGTTAGCAGACAAGACTGCACTTCGTCTTGATCACTGCCCCTCATCTTCTCTTACCCTTCTGTTGGGGGCTTGAGAGGACATAGCACAGAGGTCCCCTCCAGAAGCCATTGCCATATTCTTGAACTTTCTACCTTTCAGAACCATGGCTAAATGCATTTTTGCTCAGGGAAATTTAGGGACAGCTAGCAGAGTCTGCTGAGATCCAGGCTCACCCAGGGCCACAAAACATTCAAAATAGAGGCATTTGTTTTCCCTGCCACCCCTCTATCCCGTAGGTGTCCTCTCAGAAGGGACCCTTTACCGACCTGTCCAGTGTTCATCCCTCACCCTCGCAGGCCCAGCGCCCCCTTTCCATGCTCCTCAGTGGGCGTCTTGTGAATCCACCCATTCTGTTCCGTTCACTGCCCTGCCCCAGGCCTCTCCTCACTTTGCGCCGGGAAGTTATTTATATATCTGCTTCTCTTGAGATTAGATAATTAGACTATTAATTCACCAAATGTCCAAGGTCCCCATATGTGTACACATGTGCGAGGTGGTACAGATCGAAAAGAATTAATGAGGTGGTCTCTGAGCTCCAAACACTCAGAGCTGGGCCAGCAGGCAGAGTAGCGTCACATTTAGCAGAGTGCGTGAAGTTCAAGGCCAGGATGTACTCGCAGGGGCGCTGAACAGGGAACTTTGGTGATGGTTTATAGGAGAATAGGCTGGACAAGAGTGCATACCAGCTTCAAGGCTCTGACCTGGATTTCATAAGCAATGGAGATCTGTTTCCTCTGGTCCAGGGGTGGGAATTATAGTCACCACTTTGGAGGTTAAGTTAAATAAACTCAAGTGGCTATCAGAGTCCAGGGGTAGGGAATGAGCACTCATTTAAATGAGTTCTGAAAATACAGTTATCTGAAGAGACCATTAGGCATATGTTAATTGGTGTCCTGTGGCTCTGCTACACATTGCGGAGAGCCCACCATGAGCTGTCCAGCCCAGCCTAGTGCAACCGTATCAGCCCCTAGCAACTGTCCCAGGCTGGCCACTGCATGTGTTGACCCCACGAGGGACGTGGGGGAAACTTAGGATGAGAAGCCAAACCTTGACCCCCACCTAGAGAAACTGCTGCACAGCGCCCAAATGTGTACACTCTGAGCTTCGACCACATTCCAGAAAGTTCAGGGGCCTTGCCTTAGACTGAGCAGTCTTAACAAATCCAGCCTAATGATAGTGAAGATAGAACCTATACCTCCCCTCTTCCCCATTCAAAGATTTGCCTACCTGTCAGGGGAGACACTGATCAAGCAGCTGGTTTTGCGAGGGAGAGACCCACCCATTGCACTTGAGGTGTGCTGACCCCTGCGATTTCCCTAAATGAGGGAAACTTGACTGCATAATTTGTGGTAGTGGGAACTGTTTTCACACTCTATCCTTAAAAGAGAGAGAGAGAGAGAGAGAGAGAGAGAGAGAGAGAGAGAGATGTGCCTATACTATAATTTCCCTGATTGTCTCCACCGGAAGGAGCTAGATCTCCTTGGAGGAAAAGCCACTTTACTTCATCCAGGCTGGGCAGGGTTCAGGCCCCATACCTGCAGGAGCTGCTTGCTTTTTTCCTGGGGTGAAGGTTGGGGTGTGTGTGCCCCTGGACCCCAGGAGAGGGAAGGGGCTGAGGGAAGTCCTCACTTCACGGGATTACCAAAGAAAGGGACTCCTTTTGGGGTGGCTTGGAAGCCCACTGACCTCGTGGCAGGATGGGGGTGGGTAAGCAGAAGCCCATGTGTCGTGGGCTCCTTCTGCTTTGTATTGGCTGACAAGTGAGTGGGTGTTACCCTTTTTGTGCCTCAGTTTCTTTATTTGTACCTGACGAAGTTGCTGTTCTGGGAGTGTGTTCTTTAGAGAGCTTTTTCAGTAGACTCCAATATATAAAACTAAGTCAAGTGGGCTTTTCTGGAGGAAGAGGGGTGGTGAACACCCCAAGTTAAGCTCCTTTCATCACTGTCTCCTCTTCCCCTCCCACTTGCTCCAAAGCTGGAACCACAACACAACCTCAGCTCTAGGATTCTGAGATCATGCCTTTTAATTCTTTAATGAGTATTATCACTGCACAGTTGTCCAAGGTTAAAATGACCCTGGGCACAGCATGTACTCAAGGGGACCTATGAGGTCGCCTGCAAAGCCTTTCAGGTTACAGATGGTCCAGCTGCTGCTTGTGTCTCTGGGCCCCAGCCACACCCACCTCACCCATTTTCATTGTGCTAAAATCCACACAATATTAAATTTACCACAGTAACTATTTTAACACATACAATCCAATGGCATTAAATACATTCACAGTGTTGTATAGCTCTCACCCTCTTACATTTCTAGAACTTTCTCGTCACTCAAGATGGAAACCCTATACCTCGAAGCACGCCCTCCTCTGCCCCTCCCATAGTCTTTGCAGTCCTCTACTCTGCTTCCTGTCTGTGATTTCCTTAGTTTGACTAGTTCCTATCCGCAGCGTTCTACATCCTATGGTCAGTTGCATCTTGCTTTCAGGACACTGCTGGAAAGCCATGCCCTGCCCAGCTTCTGGACAGCCATTCCCTGTGCTCAGCCCTCAGTTCGGACCCCAGCAACAATGGGCTGAGGATGGGTGCTGGCTCATTTTCTTTTCCCAAATGCAGCTTCTGGATTGGACCCACACTGTTGCCACAGCTTTCTGGACCCTGTCCTCAGCCGAGGGCACTGAATGGATTGGCTCTTGGGGACTCGAACTCTCAGTCCATGTAACCACACTGTGGCAGCTGTTGGGCCCCATTCCAATTGTTTCTGCACCATTTCCTCAAGTGCAGAGTTTGTACTGAAGCATTGGGGGCAGGTGCTCCCTTGCTGTCTACCCAGCCCCTGCGGCCAAGGATTAACACCTCATCAAAGTTTACCAGACCCAGAATTCCCTGTTTCAGCACAGCAAGAAGGGGCCCCAGTTTCTACATTCTGTGCCCTATGGGGAGGAGGAAGGGCTGCCCCACAGGCTTTTGTTATGTGTGTGTTATTCCCTGCCTAAGTGTACTTATAGCCTGGCTGTGAATTAGATGGGTACCCACTCCCTTCTGGGTGATGGGAATTGGACAAAGTGTCCCAACGATACACAAACTCATCTTTCTTCCCAGACAGGGGGATTTGTACAATTCCTTCCTCATTTGCTTTCCAAAGAGTGCCTGTCTTATGTCTGGAATAAAGCACCACAGCTTAGTGGTGAGCCTCAAGACCATTCCTTCCTAGAAGTGTGTGTGTGTGTGTGTGTGTGTGTGTGTGTGTGTGTGTGTGCACGCGCGAGTGCGCGCGTGACTTTGCAGGCACGTGAAAATGTTACTACTGTTTGGGTTCTGAGGGATTCCACAGAACCAAAGGTTGGAAGGCTCCCTGACCTGAGGTTAAGGGCCACTGACACTCTTCTCCTTTTAGAGGCAACAGACAAGCCTGCCCGTTCCAAAGAGAAGGGCCGAGTCTCAAGGACAAAGACAGACCTGGCAGGTTGAGGGATGCTGCCAGAGGCAGGGATGCTGCTGAGGCAGGGTTACCTCTGCAGCCAGGGATCTCAGGAGTCCAGCTTCCTGCTATCTCCCCAACACACATATGTGTGAGACTGTGTGCCTGTGTGTGCAAATGTAAGAGCAGTCTTGTGTCTAAATTTCATTTTGAGTGTTCACTTTGGGACTCAGATGAGAATCTTCTGTGTCTAAGTCAAGAAGGTAATGTGATTCACTGAGGCAAGCGTGGACACTGCTAAGGCTCCTGGTAAACAAACCACGGGCATTCCATCTCACGTCATTGGAAACATATTTCATAGGGACTTGATAATGCCTAAGAAGAGCATTGACACACGGGGAAGGGCCTAGGCCTGGCCCAGGATGATGTGGTAGACTTTGGGGAGCCCCTTTTGAGGGCCTTACCCTGCCTGGGGAGTGGAGGGGGGATAACTAGGGGCAGGTGGGATGTTGGGGGGAGGGAGAGGGAGAAGGGATTGACATCTGAAGCAAGCTTGGTCCTAATTTGAACTAATAAAATAAAATAAAATAAAAATAAAAAAAGAAGAACATTCGAATCACCTTACAGGTGAGCCAAGAACACAGGTACTTGTCTTTTTAAAAGATATCCGACTTTTCTCGGCAGTCACCCCGTCACCCTAACTCTGCCCCAAAACAAAAGACATGGCTTCAAAACACCCTGGCTGTTGCCTAAATCAGTACCCTGATCATGTGTAACCCACCATCCTTGCATCGTCACTGCCCACTGTTCCTAAGGTTTATGAAGTTACCTGCATGTCCCAGGTGAGGAAAAAGCTGCCTTTTATCTTTTAGTTTACTAACTTGTAGGAGGTACTTATTGCTCAATGCTGGGCTTCAAATATAACTTCTGAACTCCCCTGAAATATTTCACACACACACACACGTAATATATGCTGGGAAGTAAGAGATCTGGCCTGTCCACTGGTGGAGAGTTTCTATTCTCCTCCCTCCATGGGAAGGACGTATTCCTGACTCCCCGTCCTCCAACAATGTAGCTTACGAATCATTTATATGAAGATGTACATGAATATCAAACACACAAGCAAAGTGAGAGTAACCCAGAAAGTCAATTTCTTTTTGTAAAAAGAGCCTGCTATGACCCAAACTAGGCTAGTAAGCGTACACATGGCCAAGATGCTCTATACATAGGAATGGCCCCCATAGACATATGTGTTTGAATGCTTGGTACATAGGGAAAGGCACTATCAGGAAGTGGGGTCTTGTTGGAGTAGGTGTGGCTTTGTTGAAGGAACTGTGTGGTTCCTGGCTGGCTTTGAGGTCTCAGGTGTTCAAGCTAGGCCTGGTATGGCCTTTATTTCTGCTGCCTGTGGATCAAGATCTTCTCCAGCACCATGTCTGCCTGCATGCTGCTATGCTTCCTGCCATGATGAGAATGGACTAAACCTCTGAATTGTAAGCTACCCACAATTACATGTTTTCCTTCATAACAGCTGCTGTGGTCATGGTGTCTCTTCCCAGCAATAAAGCCCACACTAAGACACTAACGCAGGTGATCTGTGTCATATCCCATTGGTAGCTTGAAGGGGAAAGGTGTGACAGAGCTCAGGAATGTCTAGAGGTTGGCCACACAGGCATGTTACAAGATGAGAGATATTTAGGTAATACTGACGCTTGGTAGGCTACCTGCCTTTGACAGAAAAGAAATCATTTATGATCACAGCCCTACAAAATCAGTGTTTGTTTAGTTGAGGCTTAACAAGGTTATCTTGAAACTTGTGTTTTATAAGTGAAATCCAGTGATGCCATGGGACATAGATGTGACAAAGGGACATATTTACATACATTCCACTACTCCCTGCTGTTCCAATAGCTGCACGTGTGACCAGAATTCCAAGAGTCCATCTAAGGTAAGGTGTTTCGCATACAACAGAGTAAAGGTCGGGTAGTTCTGAGACTCTGCGCTGGAACCAGAAACTGCTTCCAATGTACATGGCAAGGCCAGCATCCCAAGAAGCAAGTTACCAGGCCCCGTCTCCCTTATGAACTGCTTCCTGGAAGAGCCAGCAACTTATACCACAAATGGAGCTGGCACCGACAGTGGCTGAGAAGACAGTGCCTGACAGATCCATAGCTCACCTCAGCCCTTCCTTCCTCCCCAGGAGCTGAGTGCTGCCACCACCTGTGTCTGTAGAAGGATGTGAACTACAGTTGGATTGGTTTCAAGCATCGTTGCTATTCTTTTGGTAAGAACAAAACACACCCAAGACCTCTGAACCGTGGGACTTGGGTGATTCCATGAACTTAAATGCTTCAATGTTTGCCTTTTAAATGGACATTGCGTAATAGAAAGATTGGTGGCAAAAGCTATTCTGGTCACTTAAAATCAATCTTTCTTTACTCAATGTCATTTAGTATTAGGAAACAGTAAGATGATGAGCCAAGAGAGAGCAGGGAAGAAAGCAAAAGCTTTCTAATTCTGTGCTTTTATTGGTTTCTCCTGCACCAGGGAGTGGACATCTGTGTTTCCATGCTGCACTGGCTCCCCCAAATCATATAGCTGATTCTGATGGGTAGAAGAACTCTTTCCAAAACATATCTTCAATGATGACTGGCATTCTCCTGAAATGTCCGTGCTATGAGCATTTAGTGGATACCTACTCTTTGAGCCAAGCTTTGTGCTACTTGATAGAGCTAAAAGAATCAATCGTCCAACCCCATTTCTAAGTGATGCTGAGGGACACAAGTTCAAAGCCAGGGAAGGGAACAGTGGTTTTCAATTGCAGGGAGACTGATGCTCACCCATCAGAGGCAGCTCTGAGAAAGAAGCCTCACTGCAATAATTCAAGAACACTCAGAGAAATAGAGACCTTTCCATGCCAAATGGGCTCCACAGTCTTGTTGTGGAATATTAGTTTAGGATGT